GGCTCTTACCACAATGATCCTTTATGTACACCCGATCTGTATTGTTAGGCATAGTTAGTGTATGTTTTTATGATATTTTATCACACAATATGTAATCCTTGTCTTGGTGATTCCGTGGTTAAGTTGAAACATGGATTATAACAGATTATAGGCACAGACTACAGCATAGGCATAGGTTTTAAGTCAAAAATTAAATAAAGTCGGAGCGAATTGCGAATCGCTCACCTCAGCTTACATGCTCTGGGTGGCAGTAGTGTTCTTTGACAAACATGGATGCCTTCAGTAAAGCACATTCAAATGAAAATTACTTTTAATTAAAAACATTTATAATTTATTGAACAGTATTTAATAATTTCATATTTATAATACTTTCAGTAGTTTGAATTCTGAATATAACCGGACTTTTCCTTAATCATCCAGATTGATCCGCTCATCAAAGGTGGAAATAAACGTCCTTTTTATTTTATTCTCTCTGGCAGTTCTGGTGAGAAAAGGTCCAGATAAGAAGGCGGAGCTGGTGCTGTTGGATCACGGCCTCTACGAGTTTCTCAGTCAACAGTAAGAACCGAACACGTCTGCTTCCCGTCTGCTTTTGATGTAGCTCTGACTGTGACCTCTGACCTCAGCGACAGAGAGGCTCTGTGCAAACTGTGGCGGTCCGTCATCCTGAGAGACGAGGCGGCCATGAAGCGGTACTCTGACGCTCTGGGGGTCAAAGGTAGCCAGAACTTTTTAACGCCTCGAAAAGGAGCGGCGGAATATGTGTGTTTAATTCCATGCTTCTCCTCTGCAGAGTACTTCCTGTTCTGCGAGATGCTGCTGCAGCGCCCCATCAGCATGCGGACCTTGACGCTGTCCAACATCCTGAGCCGGGAGGAGACGGCCTACATGCGGGAAATGGCGCTGAACCGCTTCGAGAGCATCATGCAGGTGCTGAAGGCCATGCCCCGACCCATGCTGCTGGTGTTCCGGAACATCAACACGGTCCGGAGCATCAACATCACTCTGGGAGCGCCGGTGGACCGCTACGGCATCATGGCCAAGAGGTCAGGGGTCGGAGCGTGGCACGGTTTGGGCGACCTGCCGCCAATAAACCAGGGCCTCGTTTTAACCTGACTTCTGCTTTCTTTAAAGCGCGGTTCGAGGCTACGGGAAGATTCAGGCGGAGAAGACGGGGATACTGCCGCGGTTACGGATCATCAGCTGGTGCAGGACGACCTGGGAGAGCCTGAAGTTTCAGGTGGCCTTAAGGCGAGTTCTCTTTCAACATTGGTTTCTGTAGTTCGCTATGGGACACGCCCCCTCGCTTCCTTCTTTCCAGTGAGGTCTCTAAAACCTCTTTCCTACTGAAATTAACGTGTTAACGCAGGTTTTCAAACACGGGTCAACCAGCTAACAACCGGCTCCCTTCCATTTGTAAAAAAAAAGGCAGTGTCTTTAGGACGAAAACTATTATTAGCTTTAGTCGCATTTTAGTCATTATGATATGATAGCTTTAGTCTAGTTTTAGCAGGAATTAAAGCATTACAGCTCCAGGCCGGATTTACTGCTCGTAGCGATTGCCCGTGGGTAAAAAAAAAAAAAAATCCCTTGAAAATTAATTAAACTAACAGTATTAGACAATCAGAAAAAGTAGGGAGCTGGTGCCGTTCCTGCGGTCCCGCAAACTACATGTTTTATCAGTCCATAATTGACCGTGTACGTTAACACGACCTCTCACAGCCTGGTTATCCTCCCGCAGCAGTGTGTCTCAGTGAGCTTGATGCAGATATTCTTGATTTATACCCAATATTGAAGCGTGGACTGCGCTATGTTATTCCACGCCACAACGCAAGAGGGACAATCAGGAACTAGCTGTGGGTCTAGATACGGCCGAGGCGGAGAGGAAGTGGGGGTGAGTTTGTGCGACAACGGAGGGACATGAGGGTGAAAAAGAGCGGGGATCCAGGTGGAAAAAGGATCCCAGCGTTCTCACACACTTTGCTCTTCTAGCTGGTCCATCTTCACGAGTCATTTTCCACAATGGCGGTCATAAAAAACAAAACAAGCCGGTAAGGTACCAAACAAAAAATACGCATAGTGTAGAGCGGATGTAGATTTTATCAATCAGAGACCTACTGTCTGTGGTCCCCTACAATTTGGGAGAGGTGTAGCAGAGTGTCTGTGGATGGGGCGGGGGCACATTTGCATTAACTGCGATGCACACGCAGACGACCTGGTTAGATATAGACCCCCTTTTGCCATCTTCTGGCCATTTTTTCTTTTGGATTTGCAAAAGTCAAATTTAGTCATTCATGCAATCCCTGATCCCATGCCCCCACAACACTCTGACATACATATATATCTTTATATCTATATATAGATATATATACATATATATAGCTGGAGTCTAAAGACCGATACTATCGTAAATCCTCTAATATAGGACGGGGCCTTTATTTCACTGGGTTTGCATCTTGGTCCAGGCCATTATTGGAAGGAGGCCAGAGTTAGAGGCATCAAATTTCTATTTGATCAAAACAGACGACCAGTGAAATGAATAAAAAAACTGATTTTGTGTCTCTTTGAACCTATAAAATATTAGGTTCATTTATTGAAAAAGTACGGTTACCATAACGGTATACAGAACATTATTAACAAATACCGGTCATTCAGACGTCTTCCAGCAGCTGCAATTTTTCTGCACGGCAATACGAAATAGAAAAAAAGCCTAAACAGAATGGAATCTTGGCCAAACCGACTTATGAAACGTTTTAAAAAATGGAGCATTTAACCGACACTGTTCTGCCATCACAGCGACATTATATTGAACGTATCCTGAGTGGAAGTAGGGTACCGATATCTCAAGGGAAATTCAGAACAATGAAGGCCAACGGATTCATTCATAAGATTCATAACAGAAGGCAACTTACAGCTTTAGACACATTGCCGCTCACTCATATTGTAGGTAAAACAACAAAAAAAATCCTCCAATTCTGTTTAATTCTCTTTCACAATCAACATGGTTGGTTCTAATTATCGCCCCAGCCCGTATAAGACGGTGAGCCCGGCCATTAGAGCCCCGGCCGCTAATGGAATACAGGCCAATATTAGAGGATTTATGGTAAATTTTGTTCTCCTGTGTCTTTATATAACATCCATGTTTCAAAAATGTTGGTTGGTTCATTAAACATTAGCAAAGTTTTTGGCCAGCCAGGCTAATTTACGGTGTCTGAAGTCAGATCTTCCCTTCAGGCCCAAAATGGACGCAAAGGTTGTCCATGGAAACAGATTAGAACCAATCGGATACCGAAAGACGTGGCGTAGAAACGAGTTTCTTTAGAAATGAAAAGCTCTTTACAGCAGCCGATGGTTGAAATGCTTTTTTTTTTTTTGGAACATTAAGACACAGCATCATTACATCGATGCTCCCTTGCAGCTGCGATCTTGATACAGAAAAGAGCTGTTGCATTATGGGCCCGCCTCCTGCGCTGTGATTGGTCCAATCCGTTTTACAGCTTCCTTCTAATAACTTCAGATAATAACGAAAGTAGCTGCAAACAAAGGACAAAATTATTCAGAAAAGGTTTTAAATGTCAACATTAGGATGAAGAGGAAAGTTTTTTTTTTATATCCAAACTTTTCCTGGTTTTAAAGCTTGATTTTTTTTGTTTAGGTCAGAGATGGCCATCATGAGTCTGACCAGGACCTTCCTGAGGCTGCTGGAGGTTCTGGGTCTCAACACTCTGGACGCCGAGGTGTATAATTACCTGACGTAGTGCCGCAATGAAGCACTAGGGGGAGCTGTTCCAGATACACAAGGAGATGATGCAGATTTTATTGTTTTTAGCCAAAAAACATTGAGAGTCGGGATGAGGAGATAATCCAGGACACCTGCCTGCCACAGCGACTGACTATCCTGTCATTTTAGGATTTACTGTTTTCCTTTTGTTTTGTTTTATAAAAAGCAGAAAAACATTGAAAGACAAAGGGAGTTAAATTTGTTCCATTATTGTGCAGAGAACATGTTTTATGAATTAAAGAAGAAAATACATTCCAGGGAAAAAAAAAACAAAACAGAAAAAAAAGGTTTTAGATCAACTTTGCAGTTTTCTCCCAGTTATTTAGCATTTTCAACTGTTTTTTAGATTTTACTTTTCCATTCATCCATTTTCTCCTGATTAGTCCTGTCATGGTGGGCCATCTCCAGCTGTCTGCGGGCGAGAGGCGAGGTACACCTGCACAGGTCGCTAGTCTATCGCAGGGCAGAAAGACTCAGAGCCGGGAATCGAACCCAAATCCTCCTTGCTGCAAGGCAGCAGAGCTACTCACTGAGCTACTGATTTAACTTTTTCAAATTTTAATTTTGTTTCTTACAGATTTTAATATTACCTTTTTTTTTGGGCAGATTGAGTTTTATGAACGTTTTCTTTTCAAATTGCGTTTTCACGTTCACACATTTCCCTTCAACTCTAAGGCTACATCCACACTGCAGCCTGAGTGACCCAAATCCAATTTTTTGGCCCATATTTGACTGATATCTGATCTTTTCATGACAGTCTGAACAACATAGATCCAACTTTTTCCAATCCCACCCAGGCTGCTTGGCTATGTGGTCCTGAATCCGATACGAATCTGATCTTTTCAAATGCGACCTGTGTCTGAACGGCCAGTTCGCATCCATCCAACCTGGGCGCCATTAATACCCGAAAAAAGGTCCCTATTCCGGGTCTGCCATGAAAAAGTGGCAAGAAAAACAACAACCATGGCAGACGATGATGCGGAGAGCAGTATTTATGTTTAACCATCTTGAAAATATTGTGTTTAATGGTTGGGAAAGATCGCTAGGTGCACTCCGGCACTACCATCCATGTTTACTTCCGTAAAACACAGAGCACGCTGGCCTGTGACATCATTGCGTCCTCTACTGCGCACTACTTGCGTTGTATGAATTCAGTTCACACAGGAGATCACATAGAAGTAGCACATATCTGGAAATGTGAACAGCAATGCAAAAAAAATCGTATTTCACAAAAAAAAAAATCGGAATTTGGAAATTGAGCATCAAGGCCTGCAGTGTGAACGTAGCCTAAGACTGGTTCTCAATATGTGTACTTGTGCGTTCTCATGTGCTCGTGAAACGTCATCAGCCTCGGCCCTAGCACTGTTCCAATTCACAACAGCAGACCAAGAGAGAACAAAAGTCCCCGAATGTTGTTCTCGTCCCTCCCTCTTTACCCAGCATGCATCAGAGCAGACTGGTCCGTTCTTGAGATTGACAGCTGTCCCAGCATGCACTGCTGCAGCAGCAGCTTCCAATAGAGTATTCCAGAGTATTAAGGTAAAAGTTCACTTTTCTGTTGTTCAGTTAAAGTAGGTTTTACGATCATTAATGGCGAGAACATTATAATTTTGAGCGTCACTCTATGGCTCATTTACTGATTTAATGCGTGAATTAAAAAAAAGTTGGGATGTTGAGAGGAACGCAGCAACCAGCGGACCTCCAAGGCCAACAGCAGCCAGGTCTAATCCTCGCCCGTCTGCAGCAGCCCTCTCTCTGCATAGCCGTGTGTGAAGGACCGCTGGCTCTGATGGTGATTTTTTTATTTTTTTATTTGGCAAAATGTTCATTTGATTTGTGTTTATCTGACTGTGTTCATTATTATTCCTCCAATAAAAGAAAAAAGTCAGAATTTACGATCTAGAGACTATTAATAACAGGTGAAATGCAGCTGCAGACGAGCCGAGCCTGTGGTGACGTCACAAGTACGCTTCTGTTCTAATTGACCCATATTTATGTTGCGTGCTCCCGTTCTCACCACAGCCAGACTTTCCTGTGTTCTTAAGAACATACTTTGCGAGTCCATACTGGGGAATTGAGAGACGGCCAATACAGAATGCTGTTGCTGATGGCCATGCAGACCAAGAAATGCCTTTGCTCCTCATTCAAGAGGAGATCCTGACCCAGAAGTAAAGAAAAAGTAATCTGTAAAAAGGTGATTTGTAAAAATCAATTATTTTTTAAAAAGCAAATATAAAATTTTGGGGGGAAAAAAATCGCATCAAATATATAAAAAACAAAACAGCAAGGTTGTTTCAAAATCCTTTTTTTTTGTTGGTGTTTAAATGTTTTTTGTTTTTACTTTTTTCCTGTATTGCATTTTTCTTCATTTTTACAAAATATGCTCTCTGCTTCTAAAAATAAGGGAACAAAGTTGACTCCATATCTGAGCCGAAGAACAAGAAGGAAATATTTCCTGGAATCAAAGTTTGAGGCTCTATAGATCACAGCGAGCCAGAAGGCTTCGCCATTAAAGGAACTATAAACTACATGGAAAGTTTGTTTTATATGTTAATAAAAAGTTCTACCTCTGTATTTATTTATCGTCTTCTGCATCAATGAAGCGCAACTCAGAATGATTGTTTTCTTTTTTTAATACAAAATATTCTAAGAAAACAAGATGAAGCCGTTGGATAAGAAAAAGCACAAAGATGGCTTCCAGATTGGAATGTGAGGGAGGCTCAGAAGTGAGCCGTCACTCGGTCGATTTCCAGAAGATCGTCCAGGATCTGCAGAGAGAACAGAAACGTGTGAAGGAGGAGTAGATGTGGAGCGAGGAGGAGAGGCGGTGCGTCTGAACTCACAATGTCCTGCGTTGTTCCGATCTTTTTGGCCAGCTCGCTGCGCTCCATGGTGCTGAGGTAAAGGTACTTGCTGAGGAGGTCTCCATCCAGGACGTTCCTCACCGCGTTCTGCAGGCTCCGTCTGTCGCAGTGCATCATCCTAGAGACAACAGGAAGTGATGCGGACCGGGTTCCTTTATTCTGAAAAGGTTATTTATTTTTGCTTTATGTTCGAACCTGTAGGCTTTCGGGTTGAGCCCGGCATAATGAGGCAGCAAGGTGTTGAGAGCGTTCTGCAACATCAGCAGGCGGCGGTAGGTCTTCTCCGGCATGGGGAGCAGCAGGCCGATCCCGCCGTCCAGGGTCGCTATGGCAACAGAGTTTGTATTTAGAAACCTGAATCATTAAGTCTATTTTTAACAAAACTAAAGGGATAAACGCAAATCTGACGTATTGACTGTAAGTATGCTGGTCTGTCGGGGTATGCTGGTCTGTCGGGGTGTGCTGGTCTGTGTGGGTTTGCTGGTCTGTCGGGGTATGCTGGTCTGACAGAGCACCGTGTTCTGAGCTCCTACCGAACCAGGAGATCTGCTTGTTGTCCCAGGTCAGAGCCTTCTTGCTGATGGAGTCCAGCGCTCCTCGGCACGGCATCCTCCACAGCGTGCTGATGTGGGCTCCCGCGTTGAAGTCGGCGCGCCTCAGCAGGCGCATTCCTCCGAAGCTCTCTTTAGCTGCAAACACACACAGAGTGACGTAACGCCGACCGCTGGTTCATGAGGGCGGAACTACGATAAATCGGCGGTGAAGGACCCACCTTCAGGCAAATACATGTAAACGAACAGGTTCTTGTCCCGATCAGATACTGTAAATAAAATAAGGAGAAATTGAAGCTCAGCGAGGCAGAAGACTCCATGGAAACATGATCCACAGCTGATGAAGGACGTTACCTAGGAAACCAAGCTGGTTGTTGTCCACCAAGAACTCGACGCTGTAGACCTCTAAGGGCTTCGCATCCTGTTCAACCAGAAAGACACGAGTTCAGCTCAGCAGGTCAGAACCAGATGTTCTCTACGAAGCCCTGAAAGCTGATTGGTCGGTTCAACAGAACCAGGTTCTGCTGAACGGTCCAGAGTTCTGAGCGTCTAATGAAGAAATATGGATGTTTGTAAAGAGGAATTAAAGGGAGAAAAACCATCACCGGTCAGAGAGAGAGGGAGGGAGGAAGGAA